CAAAGCAGAGCTGGACTGACATCCTTCCAAATGACAGTCTTTCCATCAATTTAAGCCCTTCATAAAATTTGGCTTCAGCAGAGACAAGTCTTGACCTCTGGGCTCGCCTCAGACCTTTCTCCCAGCTTTGAACAAAGCAAGCACTGGAAGCAACACATTCAATCACTGGTGTGTTCTCCCTAAGGAGCATGTTTTGCCTCTCAGCCTTCCTGGAGCGCAGCAAACTCACCAGCAATGGTATACCTGTGTGTGTGCAGATGAGGATACCTAGGTCCAGGCAGAGAGCTGGTCAGGATTTCTTGGGATCCCTCAATTAATAGCATCTGAGACTGCTCAGCTTCAGCAACTTCCACACATCTCTGTAACAGCTTCAACAACTGCTAGCAAGAGGCCAGAGATGTGAGGATAAGTCAAGGGGCAAGGAGGAAGGTGAGATCCTCACTCCCATGGCAGGCGAGGCTGGCCCTGTGCCCTGTACCAGCCCCTCGGCCCCCGGGCAAGGACACAGAGCACCTGGGTGACAGACCCTGAGACCATGCTGGCCTCATGGGGATCCTAATTTTATGTCCTAATTTGCAAGTACACAGCCTCAGATCAGATGTGGGAGCAGGGACCAGTGGGAACCTGCCAGAAATGAGAACAGGTGGAGGAACGGGGAAATTTCTGGAGAGAGTGGTGAGAGATGGGTGGGGAGGGAATGTCTCCCAACAAGAAAAATTACCTCCAACATGAGTAAAAGCCTGGGTAGAGTATTGAGAACACAAACATGCCAAGGGGGAGAATAAGGAGTCTTGAGGAAAAGGTCAGAAAGTTGATTATAAAATGCCAGTGAGTGAGGATGGGCTGGAAGCTGATGAGCAATGGAAAGTGAGATCTTGCTGTACACAGGAGAGGGATTACAGTGGTACTGAGGGGTAGAGCTATGCTGTGGCCTACTGGAATGTGCATCCCATCAGATGGAATGTATTTTAGGACTAGAAAGAGGTATAAGAGTGTGTTGGCATAGACAGGAGTACACAGTGAAGTCAGGAGATGTCACAGGATCTAAGCTCATTCTCATTGCACAGGGGCAGAGAAGCGAGACCCACAGAGCCATGTCAGGACTACACTGGATAGTACTGGAGCCAGACAACAGAAAGACACCAAGGATCTTTGGAAGAGCAGGGTTGTAAGAGCTGCCAAATCATCTGCAGCCACTTAGTCCTATGAAGAAGGATGCCCTGGAATGGCCTTGGCCAGAGCAGAGGAAAGAACACGTACTTTTGAAAGGGGAGAGTTTCACAATAGCTCTATCAGTATTAGCAACGAGCGATAAGTTCCTCTGAGCACCTTGTCCATGGAAATCACACACAGAAAGGCCTACAGGAAGCCTTTCTGACCGACACCAAAGGGTTGTCAGGTGGAACTGGCTTGGCCAAACTCAGAGATGTCTTGGGTTCTGCACCTCTGCTCTGGGACCAAACTGGCATCAGCTCCCCAATATCCCTATAGCCCAGGGCCACAAGCCAGTCTTCCAACAGACCTACCAAAGGGAACAAATGCCCCTAATCCCAGTGCTGGCAAAACATTTCTTCCATCATTTCTAGTTTCTAAGCATAATGATTTTGCACTTTTAAGGTGCAGCCGCTCCAAAAGATTCATCGTCCAAAGTCTCTCATCAGTCCTTCTCCCTAATGGTCTGGTGTCCAAATTTCACCAGAAGTTGCCGGGCTCTGCTCTGCATGCACCTTGAGTTAGAGAGCTTAGCTGAACCAGCTATCTTTCCCTGTGTCATTAATAGTCCTGCAGAGAAAATAACAACTGTGGAGTAGGGAACATACTCATTTTGCAATTCCTTTTCCATGCCTGACAGCTTTTCAGTTTCAGTACCTTGCTCAAGCAGGGAAAATGTTAATAGAGAGAGGAGAGACTCTTTCATTCATCTCTCATCACCATGCTTATGCACACCGCTTTTCCCAACTGATTCAAGCCCTTCCTGTGGGATCTCCATTGTCTCTCGAAAAGACTCTTACTCTATGATCTTGCTGGTGAGCATTTCCAGGAGTCATTGTAAAGATTTCTTTGTGCAGCTTCTCCCACTGCTACTACTCGTGTTGTCCTGAGAATCCCACCGCCACCTCTTCCATACAACACTCAAGAGAATGACTGTCTCCCACCATGACTTAGCCAAACTGGATGGAAAGCCAACATCTGCTCACTACTAATTATTTTTTCTTGATGATCCCTGATGGGTACATAGGTTCACCCTAGACTTAAACCAGGGTTTGATAGGGCAAGCCACTAGTCAGTGTATATGATGGTTCTCCTTCTGTGTCAGACCAGCACACATGCCATTTGACTTTAAATCAGTCCACTAGCTCCTGCAGCAGAGCTACATGCTGTAGCTCCCAGTCTCCAGCCACGATGCTGGTCTAGAATGGGAGTTCTCCCATCAGCAGAGTGTCACACAAGTCTGTGTGGTGACAACAGAGTCGTGTTGAACTGCTGTAAACCCACCTCACAAGCCCTCCTGCCTCTGCTTAAAGCTCAGTCCCATTGGCATGCTCTACATTTACGCCAGTTTTTCCACAAAACCACTCCATTTGTCAAACATCCAAGCCTCTGATAAGATTCTCAGGAGTAGGTCACATCAGAAGACAGACTATTTCTAATTGACTAAAGACACAATGCTTCTATAAACGAAATTGGCTTTTTTTTGATCTTCATGCCCTTTTGCAAGCTCTTGCCTAATTTGTCAGCTTGTCACACTCCTCCCTAGGTATCTCTGTATTTCCAGTTGCTCTTTCCCCGATTTGTTCTGCACTGAGCCAAACTGTATGTAATTACTTCTTGCCTACACTTGAGATTCATCAGAGAAGCCTGCTCTTGCACCTGATGGGGGAACTGGAACTCTTATCACTGAATTTGAGAGCGGCAGGGTTAGGTGTAGGCCCCCTGGGAAGGTTCCCTCACTGTCATTTTCTCTTCTATTTGAATTCATTTGCAAGTTTCCAGGTGTGATACTGTCCCCAAGGGGAAGGTTTCAGGATCCCCCTTTGCACTGCCCTCTGCTCTGACACTCCACCTTGCCGTTCTGCCATCTATACTTCAGCTAAGTATATTGTATTTAGAATGTACTGAGGATGTAGCTACACTGGAATTAAATTTGTTCCTGAAGTAACCCCATTAAATCCTTTGGGCATCAACAAAGACAACTTCGGTACATTAGGTTCCCCAAATCCTTCTTGCTTTTAAATACCTTGATTGGGTACTTTGTAACTAATGGAAATGGGCATTTAGCTCGGCTTTTAATACTTCCCAGTTTCACCAGCTCCTTTAGTTTTATACATGTCATTCTCTTCATTTCCCTCTTTTATCATCACTTGCTTTCTCTCATTAGCATTTCCTCTCTATCCATTTTTTCCCATTTCTACCTTTTATTTTCTCTCTCTCTCTTTTAAATATTGCCCAGCACTGCCCATGTGGGTGAAGTGAATGCCAAGAGGGAAGGCTGCTGGGGAGACTGGGTTCAAGCTGCCTTACTGGAAATCAATGAGGCAGGGAGGGCTCATCTAGTTCCCAAAAAGCTGAAAGAAACCAGGGCGTATCAGTGGCAGCTGAACACACACTTGAGAGAAAAGGGTCCACCTTCGAGCACCTGCCTCAGCCTCCGAGAGGCACCACACAAACTGAGCCACGGAGGTGGACTGCTGTGATAATTTAATGGGGGCTAACCTTGGGGTGGCTTTCTGCAGCTCCTGCAGAGGGGAGATTGCCGGGCAGAGGCCCATGGAGCAGCAGGGGTCTGCAGGGAGCAGCCAGCCTGCCCTGCTCCATCTGTCCACGGAGCTACGAAACGCAGCTGGGACCAGCCACACTACAAGGATGCAGTGCTGAGAGAGGGAGCATCTTGTGGGTCAGGGGCTGACATAACGCTGTCATTAAACTGCAGGGAAATATTAATTGTCATTCCTGACTGGACAATACCTAGACCCTTAACCTACACACAGGCAGACCCATCCCATCCAAATCTGCCCATAATATACCCACTAGGTGCAAATGCTTCACTTAGACCCTCATGTTCCCCCCATACCTCCTTACCACACAGACAGGCCAGAACAACCTGAAACAACCTCCCAAACCTCTATATATGAGCAACAAGAGACATACACATTGCTTCCCTTCTTCAGCCTCCTGTCTTCCTCCTCCTCGCATGCACCTTCCTTACCATTACCTTTGCACATTGTTGCCTCTTGCTTCCCTCTCACCATGTCAGTTGTGATCCTTGAAATGCCTCTCCTCAACCTGGGCTGGAGTGTGGGGGGAGCTCTTCTTATCAGGGACAAGATGTAAAGTAGCAGAACACCCTCTCTAAATACTGCAGTTACTTCCCTTACATCTAATGAACACAGGCACCTACCTCTGCTCTCAGTGCTGTGGGCTGCTGAGGGTTAATGGTGACACAGACTCCTGGGCTACTGCATTACCTGAATGCAAGTACCAAAGTGATTTATGTCATTATTTTCTTTGAGGGTTAATTAGGGGCTCAAGAAAGTAAAGGGCTGTCAGTGCTAGCTGGAATTGGTCTAGAGCAGCCAGGGGAGAACAGTCGTCCCTCACAGAGCTCTGTTAATATATCTTTGTCCTGGACATCAATACCTCCAGCTCCCACTCCTTAGCGTGGCAGAGAGCCCTCCATCCTGACCTCCAGCCACCCTGTTAGTCTTAGCATAACCTCTGGACTACCCTGCTCTGCTGAGTCCTGCCATTTCCACTGGGCAGCTTTCACACCCTTAATCCTCTGTTATCTTCTCCTTTCCTAAGCTTGCCAATAACGCCCATCAATGGACAGGGAAAATTGGAATGGCCTTCTCCCAGGGGCAAGGATGAGATATCTCCCCTTGGTATCTCTTGCAACTGAGAACCACCAGGGACCTCCTTGCTCCCCTCTTTTCTTTCCTCTAGTTGCTCAGAGCCTGCTGAGGCCTGTGAAGCCAACGTAGGAATCTGGCTGCCCCTACCTCTTTGCCCAGATCCTCACGGATAACTTGCTCGATCTCCTGTCTGGTGCTCTGCGGGGCCTGGCTGTGCAGCACTTTGAGGGTGCGGGTGTACTCCTCAGGCAGCAGGTAGTCAAGCGCTCCCAGGTGCTGTCCCACCTTGATGAAGGTGCCTCGGTTGGCACAGCACAGCTCCCGGAGGCGCTCAGCAGAGCGCAGGTGCACCTGCAGAGAGACCAGAACATCAGCCAAGCCCTTTTGATGTCAGTTACATGCACATGCCCACATATGTACTTTTTATTCATCCAGTATTTACACAGACCAGGGATTTCCTTTCTTGATTTTGAGCATCATCACCTAATGTGTCAGCTAAGCATTAGGACTCTGACTTGATTTAGAGGGGCTGAACCAGAGCAGGACAAGATGCTCCAGAATATGAGGGGCTTCGACACGTGTTTGCACGGGCACCATGATCAGTGACAGCACATTAGTTTTTGGCTCTGTCCAGGGCTACATCCTTGCACCGAATCAGATGTCTAGCCATAAGGCAGCACTGGTTTGTCCCTGTGATCCACCACTACAATGCAGAGTTTGGGAACCCCTTGTAAAAAGACAAAAGTCAAGATCACAACCACGTATGTCAGACTCTTAGTGTGAGTGGGATGAATTCAAGTGAGAGGAAAACCACAGATACCATCCCAGAAACTTCCAGGAACTTGGAAGAAGAATTCATTACAAATCAGAACTATAGATGTCTAATTGGCAGTAAGAAGGACAGTACATAGGCAGTCCGTCATTCTCCTCAGCTCACTCCGACACACCATAAGGGGAAATTACATCCCTCCAGTCCAGCCTCTTACTGCTTACACTGTCAACAAAGTCTGAAGTGACAGTGGTCTTAGAAACTAAGAATTAGAAGACTTGCCAGCTTTGCTCACATTGGCCAAAACGCAGATACCAAATGACAAAACCCATCACCAACCAATTGCCTGCTTTGGATTTCAGCTCCTGAGGTTCATTCCACCTATCAAGAACAGACCAGCCACCACATCCTTCAGTGACAATGATTTATTCTGCTTTTATTACTCTCACTTAGAAAAGCCTCCTGCCAAGGACACAGCTATACTTAATATTCTTTAATAAACTTCAGATAAGTTTACCCTGATACATTAATAAGATCTAAACAAATCAATGACAAAATATAACTCCGCACCCATCTCCTGTTAATGCCAGACACCTATCTGCTTGGAGGCTCCCAACTCCTCTGGCTTCTGTGTTAGAAGTCATTGAAGGTCAAATCCTGTCTCTGCAGACCTCATCTGTGGTGAAGGACTCCACCAAAAGCCTTGAAGTACGTGGTGGCAGAAAGGCCCAGCAGCACAAGCATGCATGACCACCACCCACACCCCATTTAGTGGCTATCTTTGTTCTCCCTGCAAAGAGGAGACAAGGACAGGAGTCATGGGACAGGAACGTGTCAGGGAACAGACTGGGTACTGAGCTGCAAGTGCACAGAACTAGGCCTATGGGAGTGTGAGGAGAAAGCCTAACGTGCATAGATGCACACACACATGCACACACACACACTCTCCCAGGTGGGAGTGCACAGACAAGCGTAACTCGCGCTAGAAGAGCGAGCTCCCCCCAGCAAATCGCCTGCTCAAAAGCACTCGTGGACACCTAGGCAGAAAATAACACCCATGAGCACGCCTGAATTCCCCCACATTACTGGGCTGCATTTTGCACACCAGCTTTAAAGCTCCTGCTGTAACACACAAGTCTCTGCCCTGGCTGCTTCCCTGCCCTCCTCCCCTGTGTGCAGCGGGGGCACGAGCAAGCCAAAAGGGGAGAAGGGAGGGAAGCTGTGAGAGAGGACAGGTGGGCAAGAAAAACAGGGAGGGAGTAATAGGATGAAAGAGAAAGGCAGTGGGAGGGAAGGAGCCAGAGCAGCTGGGTAGTTTGTCACAGCACCAGGAGTGCAGCCCATTACAAGGAAACAGCTTTTATGCTGCCCTGATAATTGCCCTCTGCCCGCTGCCCCCAGCCGTGGAGAGAACCCCCCACCAGCAGCAAAGGGGAGCGGTGGCCAGTTGTCCCCCAAGGCATCAGGCAGCCACAGCCCAGGGCACTGGTGGGAGACAGTGGCGAGGCTCCTTGCAGACGTGCTCCCAAAACCCCAGCACCGAGCACGGGCCAGCACAGAGCCCTGCGACCTCCTACAGGCACAGCAGGAGCCCATCAAATGATTCCAGGCTGCAGCACGGCTCGGGGCAGAGCAGCAGCAACCCTGGGGCTGTAGCACGGTGCTGGACACGAGGTCGGGCAGCCAGCTCGGGTTAGAGATGCTGGCTCCAGTGCACCTACCCACTCCATAGAGATCACCAAGGGAGACAGAGAAAAACAGGATGGAAAACTCACATAGCTGAAAATGCAACTGGTTGTAGCCACACTTGGATGCAGGGTGTATCTTCATGTCAGCTACTGCTGAGGAGGCGGCAGAAATAGCCTCTCTCCCCTGTAGCACAAGGAGAAAGGAAATTTTGGCCCTCCCAAACTTAACCAACCTGTAGAGAACCCAGTTGGCCTCACGGATACAGCAGTCCTGGCCAAGAGAGACAACACCATCCTTACAGAGGGCTCCAGGGACAAAACAGAACAAAAGGCCCATGCACAGCATCCTCCACTGTGCTCCCACAACTGGCTTGGTAAAACTTCTAAGATACAACTCCTTGGCTGGCTGTCCAGACCAGGGAATGCCAGCTCCTGCCCCTGCTAAAGAGACAGAAGATGACCAGCCAACTTGTCTCAGAAGAAGGAAATCTCTATGTGGCCATACAGTTTACAAAACCCCAGTCCACATTAGAGGCAGAAGTACAGTGAGAACAAAGCAGGACTGTGAACGCAGCTTCTAACGTCTCTTTTCTTACCAACCAGGTCAGGATTTTTATCAGAAAAATGTTCATAATGTTATCTATTAATTGCCTGGGTCTCCCCAAGCTAGGTCACAGTCCAGTTGCGGCACTTGTTTCTCTGATAGGTGACCTTCTCTGAATCACAAGCAAAGTAAGAATGTCACATTCCTACTAATGTACCCAATGCTGCTGACCCATGTTTCTGTCCTACCTTGAAGAAACTGGAGGTTAAATAGAAACACCCAGAATGGCTCAGAGCTTTTCTCCAAGAAATCTCGTAAGATATTGATCTTTGTTGCACAAGCAGTATCTTGAAGACTCTTCTTATCAGGGAAGAGAGCTTGGAACAACAGTTAGACACGGACTCGCTTGTATGCATCATGCCTGGGAGCATACCGCAGAGAAAGGAAGCATTTCATGTACCAAGGATTACCAAGAATAAGCCTCCCTTCAGAAGCACTTCAGACCACAAATGCTGTCTGAGTGTGTATGCTCAGTCCACATAAGCATCTCCTTCTGTCTCAAACCCCTTCCCCAAATTTCAGCAGAACACATTCTCCATTGGCCCATGGCACAGCTATCAGACTCATGCGGTTTACCTAAGCCCTGGATAGATTGGGATTAACACCAATTATTAAAATTGTCCTATATGGGCCATAGGGAAAGCAACAGCTCTCAGGTATGAAGAGGAGGCACCTCTGGGATGAAGCACATACTCAGCAAGCAGAGCTGCAGAGGGACATCTTTTAATTTACCCTTGAGATACAAGCAGAACTGGCTTCTCAAGTCATTTTGATGCTTTTGAAGGAGCCTTTACTCACAGAAACCTTGGCAAAGAACTGCTCTTCAGAGCATCAGACACGCAGGTGTCACAAATTGGCAGATGCTAATCTGGTCTTAAAAATATGAGAATTAATTTAGAAGAAAATAAATACCAAAGTTAAAATATACTGGTGAAAACCTGAGTATCTGGTATCTGGTGACAGACCTGGTGACAAAGGGGCTCAGAAGGGCCTCTAAAGACAGTAAAGTAAGTGGTAGAAGCCACTCCTCATATGAAAAAATCCTTCAGAAAAGTCATTCCAACCCTGAAGGGCATACTCATAGCTGGCAAAACGTGAAATGAGGATTAGGAATGCAGAGAGAAAATTTGAAATGCAATTAGTCAAAGACATAACAAACAAGTCACCAGAAATTCCTGGTGATGAGTGCTGCCTCCAGGAACACCGTGAACACAGACATCTCACAAAGGACGTCAGGCTGGATTTCGCTCAGAGGAGAGGGTTAGAAGGGTTGCTCCTTCTCTCACCTCCCCAGTGGAGAGCACTCCTGTACAGGTGAGAAGGAACAGCCCCACACCAGGTGGTGCCCACTCACATCCCACCTACTCCCAATCTCAGCAAGGGAAAGGAGGCACCTTCTCCTCCTGCAGGCAATGGGGCAGGATGCTGGGGAGAAGCCTGCCCACCATTGCTTACCATGGAGATAGAGTCTCCAGCATTTCAAGAAAGATGTCTCCAGAAAATACCGCGAAAACTTCAAACACATAAAAATTAAAAGAGTAATTCAAGAAGTAGCTGAGATGCTGATAATCATAATAAAAAGGGGATCGCACATTAAAACCATTAGCTTCCAGAGGACTGAAGGGGAACAAATGTTGCCCTTTTTTAAAGAAAAATCCAGAGTAATCCGGGAAATTATAGTCCTGCAAGCTTTTATTCTGTATCAGCTAAATTAGTTGAGACAATAATTATAGAGAATACTAAAAATCATCTAGCTAAATGTGATATGACTGAAAAAAGCCAACAGGGATTTTTAGAGAAAAAAAATGATTCTTCACCAGTCCACTAAAATACTCTGAGCATGTTAATACAATGGTCAATAGAAGAGAAAAGGGAGAGATTTATTGGGATTTTTGAGTGGCTTTCAACAAACTCCCTCACAAAGAGTGAAAAGAAAACTGAGCAATTATTGGAGAAGATGCAAGAAAATCACTTGCTCATTTTATCCCATTCCCAGCTCAAAATTCCCTCTCTGCAACATCAAGCCCAGCACTACAGACAGCAGCAGTGGGGGACTCTCTAGGTAGGACAAGGCTGCAACATTTACTGATGTTTTTACCACAGCTTCATTTCAACCTGCTCTGAGCTCTTTTAGACAAGGTGATACTGCAGGAGCCCTGGCTACGTTAGCACCCGCAATGTTGTTACTTCCAGTGAGGCTGAGCTATTACTGGAATCACTGAGAAATGTGATGAAAAGGGAAACAGGTCCAGGTAGCACCCACAAGGCAGAAGGGGCTCTCTACTATAAA